AGCGTCTGTCTCTTTAAGAGTTTGAACACACTTTATTAGCGTCTGTCTCTTTAAGAGTTTGAACACACTTTATTAGCGTCTGTCTCTTTAAGAGTTTGAACACACTTTATTAGCGTCTGTCTCTTTAAGAGTTTGAACACACTTTATTAGCGTCTGTCTCTTTAAGAGTTTGAACACACTTTATTAGCGTCTGTCTCTTTAAGAGTTTGAACACACTTTATTAGTGTCTGTCTCTTTAAGAGTTTGAACACACTTTATTAGCGTCTGTCTCTTTAAGAGTTTGAACACACTTTATTAGCGTCTGTCTCTTTAAGAGTTTGAACACACTTTATTAGCGTCTGTCTCTTTAAGAGTTTGAACACACTTTATTAGTGTCTGTCTCTTTAAGAGTTTGAACACACTTTATTAGTGTCTGTCTCTTTAAGAGTTTGAACACACTTTATTAGCGTCTGTCTCTTTAAGAGTTTGAACACACTTTATTAGCGTCTGTCTCTTTAAGAGTTTGAACACACTTTATTAGCGTCTGTCTCTTTAAGAGTTTGAACACACTTTATTAGCGTCTGTCTCTTTAAGAGTTTGAACACACTTTATTAGCGTCTGTCTCTTTAAGAGTTTGAACACACTTTATTAGTGTCTGTCTCTTTAAGAGTTTGAAAACACTTTATTAGCGTCTGTCTCTTTAAGAGTTTGAACACACTTTATTAGCGTCTGTCTCTTTAAGAGTTTGAACACACTTTATTAGCGTCTGTCTCTTTAAGAGTTTGAACACACTTTATTAGCGTCTGTCTCTTTAAGAGTTTGAACACACTTTATTAGCGTCTGTCTCTTTAAGAGTTTGAACACACTTTATTAGCGTCTGTCTCTTTAAGAGTTTGAACACACTTTATTAGCGTCTGTCTCTTTAAGAGTTTGAACACACTTTATTAGCGTCTGTCTCTTTAAGAGTTTGAACACACTTTATTAGCGTCTGTCTCTTTAAGAGTTTGAACACACTTTATTAGCGTCTGTCTCTTTAAGAGTTTGAACACACTTTATTAGCGTCTGTCTCTTTAAGAGTTTGAACACACTTTATTAGCGTCTGTCTCTTTAAGAGTTTGAACACACTTTATTAGTGTCTGTCTCTTTAAGAGTTTGAACACACTTTATTAGTGTCTGTCTCTTTAAGAGTTTGAACACACTTTATTAGCGTCTGTCTCTTTAAGAGTTTGAACACACTTTATTAGCGTCTGTCTCTTTAAGAGTTTGAACACACTTTATTAGCGTCTGTCTCTTTAAGAGTTTGAACACACAGTTTTGCACTCCGGCATACTGACCGCCATGAAAACCAGAGACAAAAAATGCTCTGAGTTTCATAAAAGTCAGTCAATGCTTTCCAAAAGCACGAGCAGTGAACTCCAGGCCCACGTGACTGAACTAAAAATTGAAAGAAACAGACTAAGAAATGACGTAAGCTCCATGATCAAAACTGCCAAAAAGAATTTCATCAATGACAAAACTGAGGAAAACAAAAATAAACCCCGTGAACTTTGGAAATTACTCAATAACCAGCTTGGCTGCAGTAAAAAACTCAAAACGAGATTTTCAAACGTAAACATAAAGACAGATAACAGGCTCATCACAGACAAACTGGATGTGGCCAAGTACTTGAACATTTTTTTCACAAACATAGCCACAACTCTTGTAAATAAATTACCCTCCCACTCAGGGCTTTTTGGAGTAGATCACATCATGACCTACTACAAAAACCTAGGGGTACGCAAAGATGATTTCAGTCTAGCAAGGGTAACAACAGCAGAGGTACTCATTAAACTGAGCGCCCTCAAACCTAACAAGGCCACTGGCCACGACAATATCCCCTCCAAATTCCTCAGAGACACAGCAACCGCCATCTCACCAGTCATAGCTCACATAATTAACCTCTCCATAAAACAGGGAAAAGTACCCAAAGACTTCAAAATTGCAAGAGTAACCCCCCTGCACAAAAAGGGCAGCAAATTGGACCCAGGCAACTACCGCCCTGTTTCTATACTTACCTCCATCTCGAAAGTCATGGAAAAAATAGTATATGAACAGGTCGAAAAGTACCTCGCAGAAAAGAAACTAATCTATGAATTTCAATCTGGCTTTAGAACATCCCACTCCACTGACACATGCCTTCTTTATTTGAACGACCACATCAAACAAGAGGTGGACGAGGGTAAATACTGCGGCATGGTGATGCTGGACCTACAAAAGGCTTTCGACACTGTCAATCACCCCATTCTGATTGACAAGCTAAAAGCAATTGGTTTTGATAAACTATCGGTGAGCTGGATGCAATCCTACCTGGAGGGGAGAGAACAGATGGTGGAGGTAAACGGTACTCTGTCCCCCCCCCTCCCAGTGAGCTGTGGTGTTCCACAAGGAAGCATATTAGGTCCGTTACTGTTCCTAATTTATGCAAATGACATGTCATCAGCATGTGACTGCAACTTGTTCCTGTTCGCGGACGACTCAGCCCTGCTGGTCTCTGACAGGAGCAGATTGCAGGTTGAAAAAACCCTCAGCTCCGAGCTCGGCAGAATCTGCACCTGGCTCGCCGATAATAAATTATCATTACACCTGGGTAAAACAGAGTCCATTCTCTTCGGTTCGAAACATAATCTCAGCAAATCCGACGACTTCTCAGTTGCAGTGGGTGACATTATTGTCACAAGTAAGAAGGAAATTACATACCTAGGATCTATTCTTGAGGCAAACCTCTCCTGTGACAAAATGGCATCCAATGTAATAAAAAAAGTCAATCAAAGAACTAGATTCCTATACCGGATCTCCTCTCTGGTAAACAAAAACACCCTGAAAACTCTGGCAGGAGCACTCATTCAAGGGTACTATGACTATGCTTGCACGTCATGGTACCATAGCACCTCCAAGGCGCTAAAAATAAAACTTCAAACATCGCAAAATAAACTGGTCAGACTACTGCTTGACCTTTCATCTAGAACCCACCTCACCTCTGCCCACTTTGACAACCTAGGATGGCTTAGAGTAGACGACAGAGTACAGCTACTTGCAATGGGCCTGGTCTACAAGATCCACTACACCTCTATGGTACCCATGTACATGTCAAAATTCTTCCCAAAGGTCAAGGAATACCATGATCATAACACCAGAGGGAGCTCCACAAATCATGTAAAACCCAGATTTGGCACAAAAAAAGGGGAATACACGTTTCGCAATTATGCCACATCAAGGTGGAACGCTCTTCCCACAACTGTAAAGGAAAGTAAAACTATACTTACCTTCAAAACCTCTCTTAAAGAGCACCTTCGGGGGAAAGCATTGCAAAACTGGCCCCGGTAATGGTACAAATCTCAACCTGTCGTACAATGGACAGCTTCCCCCCCCCATCTATGTATATACTCGCATTTTAGACTCTGTTACTAACTGTATATCTGTAGACTTGGTATGTCTTAAATGTCCGGTTAGGATGTATTAGAACGAAATCTAAAATGAAAATTGTAAATAAGCCATCTGTATGTAAAAAAACACCTGTATGTAAATTGTAAATAAGCCATCTGTATGTCAAATATGTCTTATATGTCTTAAATGATATGATGAATTGGAAATGGGGGACCCTGATGTAAACAAGACGAAAGTCTTTCTCTGGTCTGCATCCCCTTAACAATTGTATGTTTTGAGCTGTACTGTACTGTACCCAATATACAAGCTGTTAATAAACTTTTCAATCAATCAATCAATCAAACACACTTTATTAGCGTCTGTCTCTTTAAGAGTTTGAACACACTTTATTAGCGTCTGTCTCTTTAAGAGTTTGAACACACTTTATTAGTGTCTGTCTCTTTAAGAGTTTGAACACACTTTATTAGTGTCTGTCTCTTTAAGAGTTTCAACACACTTTATTAGCGTCTGTCTCTTTAAGAGTTTCAACACACTTTATTAGTGTCTGTCTCCTTAAGAGTTTGAAAGCAGTGACGTCAGAGTAAAGATGGCGCTCCGCAGCTTCACGGAGATCTGCGGGTTCGAGAGGGAAACTCTTCTCCGCTTCAGAGAGATCAGCCTCAGCCTCCCCGGTAACAGAACCACTAACACACCGTCCTCCGTTACTGACTAAAGCTCCGTCACTGAGTTAGAGACTCTATGGACTCTATATTAAACTGTGAGCAGGCCAACGGCAGCTGTCACGCTGTTAGCTTCTGTGCTAACATCGGGGTCTCTGAGTGTTATCAACAGTATTCTGTACCGTTAGCCTCTGTGCTAACATCGGGGTCTCTGAGTGTTATCAACAGCTGTACCGGGGGTGGATATATATTTTTTAAATCCTCTGGAACAGAGAGAGGAGCTGTGGATTATTGTTATTGATGAATGCATCAGTGTTTCTTAGGGTCAAAAACACTAAACACTAAACTCATAACTTCAAATGAAAGCGTTTAGTTTATTTAATAAAAGAGCACATGTTCAATGTGAAAAGTGACAGTAGATAGAGATTAGTTGCAATTTGGTGATATATATATATATATATATATATATTTTTATTTATTTATTTTTTTTAAACACCTTCCATTTCAGGGGGGGCGCAGCGCCCCTCCAAGACAATGGTAGGGAAAACACTGGTTAATGTGTGCAGGTCTGTTAATGTGTGTTAATGTGTGCAGGTCTGTTAATGTGTGTTAATGTGTGCAGGTCTGTTAATGTGTGTTAATGTGTGCAGGTATGTTAATGTCTGTTAATGTGTGCAGGTATGTTAATGTGTGTTAATGTGTGCAGGTATGTTAATGTGTGCAGGTATGTTAATGTGTGCAGGTATGTTAATGTGTGTTAATGTGTGCAGGTATGTTAATGTGTGTTAATGTGTGCAGGTGTGAGCGCTCTCCCTGGAGGAGTGAAGTTTCCGGACAGTGGGGGAGCGTTCCATTATGAGGAGAGCGGGAAGCTGCTGTCCGTCACCAGCAACAGATTCATTCACTGGTGAGACAATGATAACTATTATTGATGATGATGATGATGATGATGGTGGTGGTGGTGGTGGTGGTGGTGATGATGATGATGATGATGATGATGATGGTGGTGTGTGTGTAGGAGCACCTCCGGGGACAGTGTGCAGCTGGTGGAGACCTCTCTGGACACCAACCTGCTGAACAATGCTGTCAGGCTGAAGCTGTGTCATTGCTCTCTGCTGCCCGGCGGAGTCTCCATCACAGAGACCATCAACAACGTCATCATCCTGCTCTCCACCAATCAGAGCGTCCACAGGCTGCTGCTGCCACACCCGGCTCGCATGTACCGCAGCGTGAGTATTTATACTGAGAGTACACACATACTGAGAGTACACACATACTGAGAGTACACACATACTGAGAGTACACACATACACAGAGTACACATATACTGAGAGTACACACATACTGAGAGTACACACATACTGAGAGTACACACATACTGAGAGTACACACATACTGAGAGTACACACATACACAGAGTACACACATACTGAGAGTACACACATACTGAGAGTACACACATACTGAGAGTACACACATACACAGAGTACACACATACACAGAGTACACACATACTGAGAGTACACACATACTGAGAGTACACACATACTGAGAGTACACACATACTGAGAGTACACACATACTGAGAGTACACACATACACAGAGTACACATATACTGAGAGTACACATATACTGAGAGTACACACATACTGAGAGTACACACATACTGAGAGTACACACACACACACACACACACACACACAGAGTACACATATACTGAGAGTACACACATACTGAGAGTACACACATACTGAGAGTACACACATACACAGAGTACACACATACTGAGAGTACACACACACACACACACACAGAGTACACATATACTGAGAGTACACACATACTGAGAGTACACACATACTGAGAGTACACACATACACAGAGTACACACATACTGAGAGTACACATATACTGAGAGTACACACATACTGAGAGTACACACATACACAGAGTACACATATACTGAGAGTACACACATACACACACAGAGTACACACATACTGAGAGTACACACATACTGAGAGTACACACACACACACACAGAGTACACATATACTGAGAGTACACACACACACACAGAGTACACACATACTGAGAGTACACACATACTGAGAGTACACATATACTGAGAGTACACACATACTGAGAGTACACACATACTGAGAGTACACATATACTGAGAGTACACATATACTGAGAGTACACACACACACACACACACAGAGTACACATATACTGAGAGTACACATATATCTTATATACTGAGAGTACACACATACTGAGAGTACACATATACTGAGAGTACACACATACTGAGAGTACACACATACTGAGAGTACACACATAGTGAGAGTACACACATAGTGAGAGTACACATATACTGAGAGTACACGCATACTGAGAGTACACATTTATCTCATATACTGAGAGTATACACATACTGAGAGTACACATATATCTCACATACTGAGAGTACACACATACTGAGAGTACACATATACTGAGAGTACACATATACTGAGAGTACACATATCTCATGTACTGAGAGTACGCACATACTGAGAGTACACATGTACTGAGAGTACACATGTACTGAGAGTACACATATATCTCACATACTGAGAGTACACACATGTACTGAGAGTACACATGTACTGAGAGTACACATGTACTGAGAGTACACATATCTCATGTACTGAGAGTACGCACATACTGAGAGTACACATGTACTGAGAGTACACATGTACTGAGAGTACACATGTACTGAGAGTACACATATATCTGATGTACTGAGAGTACACATATATCTCATGTACTGAGAGTACACATATACTGAGAGTACACACATACTGAGAGTACACATATATCTCATGTACTGAGAGTACACACATACTGAGAGTACACATATATCTCATATACTGAGAGTACGCATGTACTGAGAGTACTACATGCTCCACATGCAGTCCTTCTTCACGGATGTATATATTTACTCACAGTTCATATATAAATACAGTATACAGTATATGTGTGTATATAATAACAGGACCTGGTGACTGAGCTCCACATGCAGTATACAGTGTTTCCCACAGATCTGAAATATACTTGGGGGGGTGCTGGTAGCGGGGGGGGGGGGTTTGAGGTGACGTACATTAACATGAACCTTTCTGTTGGGCGTTTGTTAGCAGACCCAAAAAACAAACTAAACGGGTCGCGAAATATCCTTGGGCGGCCGTTACTATACCTGGGCGGCCGTTACTATACCTGGGCGGCCGTTACTATACCTGGGCGGCCGTTACTATACCTGGGCGGCCGTTACTATACCTGGGCGGCCGTTACTATACCTGGGCGGCCGTTACTATACCTGGGCGGCCGTTACTATACCTGGGCGGCCGTTACTATACCTGGGCGGCCGTTACTATGGCGGCCGTTACTATACCTGGCGGCCGTTACTATGGCGGCCGTTACTATACCTGGGCGGCCGTTACTATACCTGGGCGGCCGTTACTATGGCGGCCGTTACTATACTGGGCGGCCGTTACTATACTGGGCGGCCGTTACTATGGCGGCCGTTACTATACCTGGGCGGCCCGCCCAAGGGTAGTCTATGTGGGAAACCCTGGTATATATTAGGGATGGGAATTTGAAAGCAAATGTATATTCGAATATTCGACCCCCCAAAAAACGGTTAACCAAAATGTAAATATCCTATACAAAAAAAATTGGGTAAAAAAAATGTTTCTAACATTTCTTTTCGAAAAATATTTTTTCAATAACTTTTGGAAATAAATAAATAAATAAATAAATAAATAAATAAATACATGTTCAAATAAGTTTAGAAACCAAGTCGAATGTATTGAACTGGTGATCACAGTTTGACAGCTATAGGCCTACAGCTTTCATGTGTGGAGGAGATTCACAATCAGGCCAGCTGTAGAGGAGACCCTCTCAGCTATAGCAAGGAGACCCTCTCAGGTATAGCAAGGAGACCCTCTATAGCAAGGAGACCCTCTCAGCTATAGCAAGGAGACCCTCTATAGCAAGGAGACCCTCTCAGCTATAGCAAGGAGACCCTCTCAGGTATAGCAAGGAGACCCTCTCAGGTATAGCAAGGAGACCCTCTCAGCTATAGCAAGGAGACCCTCTCAGGTATAGCAAGGAGACCCTCTCAGCTATAGCAAGGAGACCCTCTATAGCAAGGAGACCCTCTCAGCTATAGCAAGGAGACCCTCTCAGCTATAGCAAGGAGACCCTCTCAGGTATAGCAAGGAGACCCTCTCAGGTATAGCAAGGAGACCCTCTCAGCTATAGCAAGGAGACCCTCTATAGCAAGGAGACCCTCTCAGCTATAGCAAGGAGACCCTCTCAGCTATAGCAAGGAGACCCTCTCAGGTATAGCAAGGAGACCCTCTCAGCTATAGCAAGGAGACCCTCTCAGCTATAGCAAGGAGACCCTCTCAGGTATAGCAAGGTATAGTATGTATATATATAAGTTTAATTTGGCATAGTTTGCACTCTACACCGCACTCACTAACCTGGTGGAAATCTTTCCACTCCTTTTTGACGCCATGTCTGTTGTGTAGGACTCTTCTTAGAGTGTAAATAATCACCGGACTATGACTGGTCAAATATGTTGAATACCGGCAAAACTAAATCTCTCCTGTCAAAATGTCTATGTACTTTGCCGCCACACACGGTTGCCAAGCAACGCTTATTGTTGTTTAGGCTGGCCACTCATGTGTCGCGAGTGTTGACAGGGAGCGGGGGAGCACGCTCATGAACTGTTAGCGCCCGAACCTCGCAACGGCTGCAGAGCGCATTTGGGCATAAGATGAGGTTTGAGTCTGAGTGATCTGCGTGTAGGGAGGGGCAGCAGCCATATCATTAGAACTAGATCTGATGGGTTTGGGCATAAGATGAGGTTTGAGTCTGAGTGATCTGCGTGTAGGGAGGGGCAGCAGCCATATCATTAGAACTAGATCTGATGGGTTTGGACATAAGATGAGGTTTGAGTCTGAGTGATCTGCGTGTAGGCAGGGGCAGCAGCCATATCATTAGAACTAGATCTGATGGGTTTGGACATAAGATGAGGTTTGAGTCTGAGTGATCTGCGTGTAGGGAGGGGCAGCAGCCATATCATTAGAACTAGATCTGATGGGTTTGGACATAAGATGAGGTTTGAGTCTGAGTGATCTGCGTGTAGGCAGGGGCAGCAGCCATATCATTAGAACTAGATCTGATGGGTTTGGACATAAGATGAGGTTTGAGTCTGAGTGATCTGCGTGTAGGGAGGGGCAGCAGCCATATCATTAGAACTAGATCTGATGGGTTTGGGCATAAGATGAGGTTTGAGTCTGAGTGATCTGCGTGTAGGGAGGGGCAGCAGCCATATCATTAGAACTAGATCTGATGGGTTTGGACATAAGATGAGGTTTGAGTCTGAGTGATCTGCGTGTAGGCAGGGGCAGCAGCCATATCATTAGAACTAGATCTGATGGGTTTGGACATAAGATGAGGTTTGAGTCTGAGTGATCTGCGTGTAGGGAGGGGCAGCAGCCATATCATTAGAACTAGATCTGATGGGTTTGGACATAAGATGAGGTTTGAGTCTGAGTGATCTGCGTGTAGGCAGGGGCAGCAGCCATATCATTAGAACTAGATCTGATGGGTTTGGACATAAGATGAGGTTTGAGTCTGAGTGATCTGCGTGTAGGGAGGGGCAGCAGCCATATCATTAGAACTAGATCTGATGGGTTTGGACATAAGATGAGGTTTGAGTCTGAGTGATCTGCATGTAGGCAGGGGCAGCAGCCATATCATTAGAACTAGATCTGATGGGTTTGGACATAAGATGAGGTTTGAGTCTGAGTGATCTGTGTGTAGGCAGGGGCAGCAGCCATATCATTAGCTAGAACTAGATCTGATGGGTTTGGACATAAGA